AAATAAACTTTTTAATAAAAAAAAAATTAACAGTGTAAAGAAAAGAAAGAATTACATTTTCTTTTTTTTTTAAGGTTTATTTAAAAAAAAAAAAAAAAAAGACTGTCTTCTGTATCCAAATAATGGGAGGAGAAAACAAAGTACTGAGGAGGATTGATCACTTCTTTTTTTGTTTTTAAGATTTATTTATCTATACAGAACTGGGATACAGGCCAGAGGTATAGGGCAGTGAAAGGCTTCACTAGAGACAGAGTGGGGAGCAGAACAGGCAGATCAATGAAGTACACTGCTGAGGAGAGAGGTAGGCAGGTCAGGAGAGGTCTGCCATGTCATGTGGGTCACCTCCGGGGCAGGGATTGAACTCATGCTAAAGTGGTTTTAGTTCTTAGTGCAGTGCTTTAACCCGCTGTGCCACCAGGCAGGGCCCACTTCTTTCTAGCTTTGGCCTGGAAAGGTGGCACTTCACTTCCACTCATTTCCACTCACCTTCACTTCCACTTCCACTGACCGTGTCCAAGTGCAAGGATGAATGAGAACTGAAGCCTAGCTTTGTGGTTTCTGGTGAAAGACAGTGGTCCTCAAATAAGCCAGATAGTCAAAGCAAGCCCCACACAATGTGATTTTATTCATAATGATAACATGATTTGTGACAGTGTTATCTAATTTTAAGTGGGAATATATATTCAGGAAAGTGAACTTCTCTGTCTTTAAAATAATCTCCTCCTTATTTCTTAGCTCTGTGCCTCAGACAAGATCCTGGAGTTTGATCGAGATTTTCGAATCCGACATTACGCGGGCGATGTCATGTAAGTATATCACCCTGGTATCTCAAGGGATGGTCTGCATGCCACCTCATCTCAGAGACTTAACCAGGGAAATTAGAAATTGTATTTCTGTTCATGTGCATCTTTCAGTCATTTTGTATGCCAGTATATATTTTTTAAATACAAGTTTATTTTTATATCATGTTGTGCCTTTTTCCATCTCAGTTGTAATCCCCATGGGCTTCCCATCACCAAATCACCCGTGTGCCAATATATTTTAATTTCTTTATTTAAAAAAAATGGCACTACTTTATTCATCCTTTGCTTTTCATACACTTTGAGCATACCCTCTGTGGCCAGGCATAGTGCCTGGTGTTGTCAGGACTCAGTCACACTCAGCTGTACAAAACAATCTGACATATGTTCAGATCTGGGATTGAAAGGTACACTGATAGGCCTTTCCCTGAAATAGCTGACAGTTTCGTGGAAAATACAAAAACACTTCACAGAAGAGAAAGGGTTAAACTAAAAGTGCACAAAGCATTATGGACGCCCTGAAGAGAAATAATGAATCCAGAGGGAGAAGTATAGAGATGTCTTCTGGAGGAATTGGTAACCAGGCTGAGCCCTGAAAGTGAACAGGCCAACAGTGATAGTCACTGCTGTGTGTAAAGAACTGCAGTAGCTGGGTAACCATGGGAACAAACAACAGTTCTACCATATTGTTTTTCAAATATTATTTGAAAAAGTAAAATTCTCATTGCCATATTTCCTAATGACAGTGCAAGGAGAAACAGATATGAAAATATAACTAAGAAATAAAAATACCTTAGTGTTTGGTTTCCAGTGGCTGCTGTAATAAATTATTACCACAAGCTGGAAGCTTAAAAGAAGATAGATAAATTCTCCCACAGTTCTCAGAGACCAAAAGTTGAAAATCTAAGTGTAGGAAGGGCCGCAGTCCCTCTGGAGGCTCTACAGGGTTGGCCCTCGCCTTTCCCAATCCTGGCCACCACAGGCATTCCTTGGCTTGTGGCCACATCACTGTAGTCTCTACCTCTGTGTCAAAGCACCTCTTCTGTATGTGTCCATATTAAAGCTCCCTGTGCCTGTTTTCAAGCTACACTTGTGATGGCACCTGAGCAGTATGGGACAAGCTTCTCCACTCAAGATCCTTCATGTAGTTAGTTCTTTTACAATATAAGGCAACATTCATGGTTTCCAGGGGATTTGACATGGACCTTTCAGGGGCTCATTTCTCAGCCTACACACCTAGTATGCTTCCACTCTCCACTGAACCCACTGCTTGCTTTAAAGTTGTCTCTTTTTCCTTTTTCTGTATGCATTACCTTAGGAGTTCTATTCTTACAACCTATGACAGGAAGAAAGTCAGAAAAAAATAAAGCAAATGATCATTTCTATAAATGCTGAAAAGACTTTTGAAGATATTTTAATAGCTGTTCCTGGTTTAAATTAAAACTCTAGAATCATAAAATAATGTGGATCAAAATCATCACTCCATCTGTCTAATTAGCCTTTAGTGCTGGAATGGTACCATCTTCCCTTTTTTTCTAGTCCTCTTCCCATGTTCCAGAATATTGAAGCAGGGAGGCCCACTGCTGTAAAGATTTTCCACTGAAAATCTGGGCCTCACCTGTACAGGGATCCTTTCATACACCTTAGAATGAAATAGGTGTGGAGCTGGAAAGAGGCTTAGAGTGTAAAAATTTAAGCCAGCCCTTTGCTTTTTAGATAAAGAAATTTATGCAGAGTGTGTAAAATTCTTACCCAAGGTCACACAGCAAGTTTATAGAATAAGTAAAACAACTGTTCCCATTTCAGATAGCTAACCTCAGGTTGCCTTTTCTTTCCTTAAGCTCTTTAATCCTTTTGTAGATTTTTATTGGGTATCTTCTCTGTACACAATACCTTATAAGGTATGGCCCCTGTCCACAAAGAGCTTTCTATGTAAGATGCTCACATACATGCTGGCATATTTATTTATACATTTTAAATATATATATATATATATACATACACACACACACCTGTATGCACATACATGCACTTACACATGAAAAGATGGTCTAAAATAATTGTCATGTGAGTAATAACAAGTGTTGACAGAATTCAGAACAAGCAAATGATATAATACTTATAAGCTGTATGTGATAAATCCGGGAAAGGCTGATGCTGGTTCTTAGACGCTAGGAATTATTTTTATAGGCAGGAGTGGGAAGGTGCTAAAAATATTCAGGAAATAACAGCTCGGACCATTTGACTGGAGTATATCTTTTTTGTAGTCTAGAGAAGCAGAAATGCTGGAGCAAGTAGACTGAGATCAAATCACTGTGAATCTTAAAATGCATACCTTGAAGTTTTAATTTTATGGGTTAGGTAACACATTAAAAGCCAGGTGACTGAATGTACTAAGGATCCTAGACTGGGTTGGAGGAGACAAGGGTATGATTTTGGATCAGCTGCCCACTGGCAGCACAGCATGAAGGAATTTTCTTACAGAATTAACTATGTAAGCCTAAAATATCAGTGAAGGGTCAAGGTCAGAGATCTGAGATTTGTCTACATTGATGTGACTGTCAAATAAGAAAATACAGATAGGCAAGAAAGCAGAGCTCAAAGGAACAGCTGCATCTAGAGTTACTATTTGCTCAGCCTCCTAAGCCTCTGACTTAATCACCCAGAATCCCTGATTACTTTTATACCTCAACCCTGAAATTTACCCTCCTTGAGCCCAGGCCTGTCACTGCAGTAGGACAGCTCCCATTCCTATCCTTCTTAACAACCACAACCCCAACGGACTTTCAAGACTGCTCCCTCTAAGCTGTCACTCCTGGCCTCCTCCCTTCTCTCAAGGTCCCCATGCACATGCCTGCCTCTGTCCCGGCCTTTAATGTTTCTTTGTGTGATCTGCCCTCCGCTTTCTCCTCTGCTTATCCAGATCTTACCATCCTTTGCAGTTCTTCTTGGATTCTTTCATCCCACCCTGAACACACTGAGTGAGCCTTAGGTAGGTCACTTCAGCTTCCTACGGATGAGACTGTTAGTTCCTGGGTGTTGCTGTTTTGCTTTTATCTTACGAATGCTGCGTGATAAATACCACTATATTAAAAAGTCATCTTCCTGAGGTAAGCAATAGACTAGTAGAAAATTATGATCTTAATCATAATGATGGTGTTGTTTATTTTTCTTTTGAGGAAGTGAAGCAATATTCCCTGTACTTGATACATCTGAGCTACTTTAACATAGGGTGGACAGTGTTGGCTTTATAGATGATTGATTGCACAATCAATAATGGAAAGGCTTGTAGACATCTAGAAAACTTAAATGTAGCTCTTGCTTGGTGAATAATGCATGTACCCTATGGTTTTTACTTTCTCTCTATTAGCTATTCTGTCATTGGCTTTATTGACAAAAATAAAGATACTTTATTTCAAGATTTCAAGCGCCTCATGTACAACAGGTAAGATTAAAATTTTATAAGTCATCTTTACATTAAGCCTTTTGACATACATTGTGTGACATGTATGTATATGATTATTTTTATGTGACAATTTCAAGAGTTTCTGGCAAATTTTCTGGTTCATGCTTAATGAATACAACACATTACTGTCTGATTGTACAATCCGTCAACTTAGAGTAGAAACCTGCTACTAATATGGTTTTCTTGGGTTGCCTCAGTTTCTCTGTACACTGCTTCCATCCTTCAGCAACCCTCCCAGTGTATTCAGCTGTCCCCAGTCTAGGCCAGTGGTCATTGGAAGGTGTCAGGTAACATCTGACCCTGCTACACACTCAGGTTCTGACTATAGTATCTGCCCCCAACTACAAGTCTTTTCAGGGTGCACCTAATGTCAGTGAGGACACATCCGGACGGAGTGGACAGAACAGCTCGTGATCAAGGAACTGTGAAAAGGTTGTGATGAAAGAAAACTAGACAAGGATAATAAGTTCAGCTTAGTATGCACATTTTGGGAAGAAGGCCATGATAAAGAGAAGAGAGTCCTGACAAGCTTCGTTTAAATTCAGAGACCCTAGTCACCCATTTGTTACGTCCACTCCATGAGTTCGTTAACAGACCACCCAAAATGTATTGAGCCCATCTGAGCCACATACTCTTCACACTCTCAGATAAAACTGGGAAAAGAATTTAGATAGAATCCTTGCCCTCTTGGCTCATTTTTTCTTGTGGAAGTGGTAGGCAGTAAACAGCACAACTCACTTCTAGGAAGTGACACTGGTGCAGGAAAGGAAAGCTTCAGAGGTGGAAGGAATAGATGAGGAGAGCAGCTGGCACCAGACCTGAGGCAAGAATGAACTGGGATGGATGAAGAACAGCATGAAGGCAAGTGTGGTAGAAATGTGGGCATAGTGGAGAGGATGAATTCAGAGAGGTAGGCAGAACCTGGATCATGAAGAATCTGTGAAGGAAGGTAAGGATAAAGTATGAAGGGAAGACACTAGAATTTTTGTAATGATGTAATGTATATTTTTAAAAATCCTCAGGGCTGGTATGTCAAACACATACAAGAAAGGGCAAGAGTAGAAATAGGGAGGGCAGTTTGGAGGCTAGATTAGTAATCTGAACTGAGATTTGGACGGCAGTGTCAGAGATGATGAAAAGTGATCAGACTGGGTGAAATTTTGAAAGTGGAGCTAATATAATGTGCTGGCAGATAGGCTGTGTGATGTGAGAGAAAAACAGCAATCAAAGATGATACCTGAGCAATGGGGAAGGGTCGCTTGATGTGGGAAAAACGAGAAGAGCTCATTTGATGGGGTGTGTCAAGAGCGTTGTTTTGATAGATGTATATTGGCACATCCAGTTGAAAATGCCAAATAGGCAACTGTATCTGGAACTGAGGGTAAAGCCGGGACCAGAGACAAATTCGTGGTCATCAATACATTGGTGGTATTTAGGGTCAGAAGATTAGATGAGATGGTCTAAGGTGAGCAGAGATGAAAAGTAAAAGTGGAAAGAACTCAAAAGCCTAGTCCCTGAGACATGCCAACGTTGACACTCAAGCAAGGGGAGAAGAACTAAGGAAACTGAGAACATGCCCGTGAAGGAGGAAAAAGAACCAGGAGACTGGTGTCTCAGAGGCCAAGCCAAGAGCAAAAGTGCTTTGAGAAGTGATACTGAACTGTCAAAAGCCGAAGTGGTGTGAGCAATGGGGCTTTTGGCGGCTTGGCTTCAGCAGTCATGAAGTCACTGTCCTATAAAGGAGGCAAAGGAGAACAGGGAGACACTATGTTTAAACAGTTCTTTTAAGAAATTTTTCTATAAAGTAAGTAATCTGTGTGGATGTTGAAGCCACTGAGACTGTTGACAGAGCCATCCTCCCTAGAAAGTTAGACACGAGTAACTATGAGGGGAGATGCATGGAAGAGGCCACAGGGAAGAGGCGCTTGGGGAGCATTTATCCAGAAAAGAAGCATCCACTTTTAAGGGGAAAATGGCAGTCTGACTTTGCTCTATGCAGAAAACTAAGATTGAATAAGCAGCCTCAGCTCGCCAGTAGCGACTCCAAGACGTACTCAAGGGAGGCTGCAGGGCTGAGTGACAGTGGCCTGTACCACCTCTGGATTATTCGCAGCCAGAGCCTGAGCACACAGAAAAGCACCTCCTTCCACTGTGGGGCCCCATAAGCCCAAACTGGCAGGACCAGCGCAAGAGCAAAGCAGCTTGTGGGTTCAGTTTTTGTGGGTGTAGCCTGGCCAGCTGTGGTGAGGTTAGGAGTGGTGTCCTTCCCGGTTCACTGGCCAGTCAAACGGCACCCACACAGCCACCACCTGTGTTCTTTTATTGTCCATTCCGGTATTTTGCAGCTACCATTTTGCACCTCTGGGTACAGGATTGTTGTTTTGGGGAACCAACTTAATTTTCTCACCTTTATACCATTGAAAAGAAAGTGGGTAAAATGATGTCAACACTTAGCACAACTAGCAGTGTACATCCATGTCAACTATGCCTTCCCTTTAACCCCCAAGTCAAAAACAAAGATTGTAACAAGAGAAGTTTACTGAAAGTAAGCAACATTTCAAGTTCCAATTATTTTGCAGTCAAAAGCACCCAAAATGAATTAGGAAGAAAGTCACAGTGGAGACTACGACCCATTTTCGTTTTCAAATAACTCTATAGAGTCAAGCAATAAATATGTATTTTTAAGCACAAAAACTGGCTTGAAAAACATTTTAAGAAATTGGCCTGCAACAGTCTTAGTGTCACACCAATAAAATATTCTAACTGCCAGTGCCACCGAAAATTCACCTGCAGTGAAAGGATTAACTAGAAGACAATGTAAAAAAAAACGGCTACTTTATATTCCCATCTCTATTTTTATGAAGAGATGGCTTTGGTAGCAATACGTATGAAGCAAGTATGAGAGCTTGCTTCAGTTAGAAGATGCTGTCACTTTTTTTGCCATGACATTGGAGGTCATTTTCCTACTTGTCCTCTCTTATAACAGCCATCAATTGTTGTTATACAATAAGAGCTACGTAAACTATTTGAAGGCCCTAGATGGCAATAGTAATAATAAAAATAATATAAGTGTCACTTTAAGGAAATTTATAGGAGTTTTTAAATGAAGTATAGCTTGAACACATCTTCTCCACTGCAGTATACTTTCAGCATCATTTTCTGGGTGGACCCTCTTCTCCAATTAGGCCTGTCCTGTCTGTGTCTAGTCATGACCCTCACAATATAGTGCATCAGGGCTGGTCACCTGTCCTTGAATGTAACCTTTGAATTGCACTCCTGCTTCTCAGTTCAAATACTGTGCTGAAGAATATGTGGCCTGAAGGCAAACTGAGTATCACAGAGGTGACCAAGAGACCCCTCACAGCGGCCACCTTATTTAAGAACTCCATGATCGCTCTGGTAGACAACCTCACGTCAAAGGTAATTACCTTCTACTCTAAATAGACATTTTAATTCTTGAATCCCTTTCTGTATGGTATAAAGAACATATATATATATATATATATATACATGCACATATACATATATAATTTGCTTTTGAGATGGTTATAGTAAATGCAGAACATATATTTAGAGTGAACATTAGAGGTTTGTTCCCAGTGGGTTTTTTGCTTTGTTTTAAATGTGGTTGCATGAAATAATTGCGTCCCAGATGAAATGCTTTACTTATATTCAGGTATTTTACCCACCATTGTAGTCAGGTCAACTCAGTCTTACTGAGACCTTAAAAATACAGTAATACATCATGTTTCTAGCAAAATGAACTCAACCCTGTGCTGAAGACAGGACCTGGTTTTTAAACATAATCTCGAATTAGCATGTAATATTCCATCATGTATTTTACTCATATGCAAAATAGTCAGAGTTTTAAGAGGATGTTTAATATTTTAATATTGTCCTTAGGCTATTTCTAAGAAACATTGTTAACAGTTATTTCTGGTTTTTACTCTTCCTTTGAGATCTACTACTGTTAGATAACTTTTGTGTGTTTTCTTTTTTCTTCATTTCTTCTATTAAAGTACTGTTGACAAGTTTGATAAATTAGGCAGCATTCTGGGACTCATTATTTTTGGTTCCTTCATTTTTATCTTTCTCTTCTTGGTACTTTTCCTGGCTATTTTCATCTTCATTATTATCTTAAAAAAAAAATAATTAGTGTCCTCTCTAAGAATTTAAATATATACTGTTTCTGGCTACTTCATCCTGGATAAATTAGGCAGATGCCACAAAAACAGATCTGTTCAGTAGCTTCTGTTTCTTTTCATGGGCTTCTTGACCTCAGTGACAATAGATGAACACAGTTTGTTGTATAATCAAGCCTCCAGAAAGGCAGCGGCGAGGACACTGGAACCGAAGACAAAAATACTACTAGAGCTCTTCCTCTGACATCTCAGCTGCTCTACCTGTCTGCTTCATGCAGCAAAAAAAAAAAAAAAAAAAAATGAAGGAAGACATATGACCTAGAAAACAGTTGAATTCAGGATTTATAAGACATTATTAATAAAACATTTGTAAAGTACTTTTATCATAAAATACATTAGATTTACTTAATTAGAAAGAATCACCTTTATTTTCTAAAACTGGTAATGAAATGTGCATTTTGAAAAAATTAAAATCCTAGAACCATCTGTAATTTCGCTATCAGAAATTATTCAGCTGCTAGTAAAAGAGATCCCTAAATTAGTGGCTCAAAGAAGAGAAACACTTAGTTTTCTTTCCTGTAAATGAAGAGCAAAAGAAATTATCCCAGGACTAGTGGAGAGCTCTGGGATTATTAGGGACTTAGGTTCCTTCTGTCTGTCTTCTGCCATCCTAGCATCATCTATTTCCTGGTCCAAAATGACAGCTGAAGTCCTTCCCCCTTAAAGAGACTTCCTGGAAGTCTCACACCAAACTTCAGCTCCTTCTCATTCACTATGCATAGTTGCTAAGGAAGCTAGAGAGTACATGTTTTTCTGAACAGTAATGTATCCAACAAGAAATAATGTTTTCTATTTCAATGTAGGAAAAACATACTGGCTATGAAGTAGACAAGTTAACCTAGCAGTGTCTACGCAGCTTCCTGATATATGAGGATGTCCATGGAGGTTGGGAAGTTAGGACAGGAGCAGGAATAAGCAAAAGAGTATAGAGGATTCAGCAATATAAGAGAAGGCAGGAAGGTGGGTGGCACACACAAATGGGAAACATTGCATTTAGACAAGATCCTTAGTAAGGATACAGAAACTTTAAAAGCAAATTAAAACTTATCTACTAGATCAAAAGAACTCTGTACCCAGGGATAGGAGATACAGATATCTCTCAAGTGGTACATGGAACATTTATAAAAATCAACCACTAGATCACAAAGGAAGTCTCAATTATTTTGACAAATGCACATACAGATACATCATCCTCTGTCCTCACAGCAAGGAAAATAAAATCAGCATTAAAAAATTTTTTGTCTTGGCCCTCCATGGTGGCGCAGCGGGTTAAAGCACAGCACTGAGAAGCTAAAGCCACTTCCGCATGAGTTTGATTCCCGCCTGCCCCGGAGGTGACCACATGGCGTGGCAGACCTCTCCTGACCCGCCCACTGCTCCCCTCAGCAGTGTACTTCATCGATCTGCCTGTTCTGCTCCCCATTCTGTCTCTGGTGAATCCTCTCACCCTCCGCATCTCTGGCCTGTACCCCAGTTCTGTATGAACAAATAAATCTTTAAAAAAACATTTTTTTTTGTCTTAAATGTACTTGGGAACTTAAAAGAAGTACTCTCTTGAGTAATTCACAGGTTGAAGAAATCACAACAACAAAAAATATCTTGGACTATGTGTCAAAGGATTTAATCACAATTTATAGGGTAATGCTAAAATGATACACTTATGATGGCCTTATACAAAAAAGGAGGAAGATTGAAAGTAAATGAATAGGTTCAACTCAAGAAGCCAGGACAAGCACAAAAGAAAATCTAAAAAGTGAGAAAATAATTTTTAGATGGCAAAAATGAAAAGTAATAGACAAAAGAATCAAGTAGGCAAACCTTTAAAAAGAAATGCATATGTTATAGAGACTTTAAAGAACATCAAGATATTATAATGGCAAAACTACATGCCATTAAATTTGAAAAAATGATCATTTTCTAAAAAATGATCCAAAATTTTGATAAAATTTACCAAAATTTTGATAAAAGGTTATGAAAATTAACTCAAGAAGAAATAGAAAATGTGATAAAAATTGTAACTTTAAAGATTCTGATTCACTAATCAAAAGTCTGCATTCCCTTAATTCTGCCAAAGAACTCAGGCCAAAATGGTTATGCAGTTAAGTTTTTTTTTTTTTTTAAGATTTTACTTATTTATTCATATAGAACTGGGGTACAGGCCAGAGATACGGAGGGTGAGAGGATTCACCAGAGACAGAGCCGGGAGCAGAACAGGCAGATAGATGAAGTACACTGCTGAGGGGAGCAGCGGGCGGGTCAGGAGAGGTCTGCCGCGCCATGTGGTCACCTCCGGGGCAGGCGGGAATCGAGCTCATGTGGAAGTGACTTTCGCTTCTTAGTGCGGCATTTTAACCTGCTGAGCCACCAGTGAGGGCCTGCAGTTAAGTTTTACAGAACCTTCAACACAATAACCCCTGTCATGTGAAAAAATTTTTTGTCTTAAATGTACTTGGGAACTTAAAAGAAGTACTCTCTTGAGTAACTCACAGTTACTGTTTTTTGGAGGATGGGAAGAAGTATTTTATGAGATCAAGATTAGCATTTCCTTAACTCAAAGTTAATAAGAGAAAATAAAATTAGATATCAATCTTACTTAGGAACACTAAGGTAAACATATTAAAAAATATAGAGGAGTAATGGGTTTTACAGCAACATAGTGAACAGTGTACCCATAAGGACAACTGAAATGTTAGATAAGATATAAAAGAATCAACTTCTTGAATGTAACTTTGAACTAACAAGAAAGTAAAAAGCATGCAAGCCAGGAGCTAAGTGAAGACAGCATTAACAGAATGTAGAGAAAAATAATCAGAGTATTAAGGCTGCCTTTTACCCTTAGGGATTTATTGAAGTAGATAGATAGCTTTGTATGTAGTCACTCAAGGCTGCATCCTTCAAGGGAAACCTAGGGTCTCCTGAAAGGAGGGTGTCTAATAAGAGATAAACACATACCCCTGCCCAAGACACACACACACATAGGCATCTTTAAAGACCTATATCTGGAGTGAACTAGAAATAATGCCTTATTATTTGAAAAAAAAACTGTCTGGCTTAGTCCCTGGCACTAAGCTGGGCATGGGGTGGGTAGAACATCATCCTTTCAAAATGTATTATCTTAAACAGTTCTAATGGGGCTTGCCATCCAAATTCTCACTACCTAGGTGGCCTGAGAAGACTCAAGCCAGCAGTTTAAAGTAGTCCCAGTCTGTTATTGTCTCCAGGTGTCTAATCCAAGCATGATTTTTTTTTAATGAATAATATGTTTATTTTTACATCATTTTGTGGATTTTCCCATCTCAGTTGTAATCCCCATGGGCTTCCCATCACCAGATCACCCATGTGCCATCACCATAGTCCAGTGCATTTCCCTGTCGCCACAGTTTTTGATCCCATTCCCCATTCCACTCCCATAAAATGTCTCTGGTATATAACTGTTCATTATTATTTTCTCGCCTGGTCCATTATTATACTCCTGCTATGAATGAAACCATCCAGTATTTTTCTTTTTCTTTCTGGCTTATTTCACTAAGCATGACCCATTCCAGCTCCATCAATTTGCTGCAAAAGGCATGTGTTTCTTTTTTTTAGTTGCTGAGTAATACTCCATTGGGTATATGTACCACATCTTTTTTATCCAGTCATCTACTTTTGGGCATTTGGGCTGTTTCCATTATCTTTCCATTTGTAAATAAAATAGCAACAAACATGGGGGTGCAGATATCTTTTTGAATCATTGTTTTTGTGTCTTTTGGGTAGATACCTAGGAGCCAAGCATGATTTTTTTAAATTATTTTTTAACAGTTTATTTTTACATCATTTTGTACTTTTTTTTTTCCATCTCAATTGTAATCCCCACAGGTTTCCCATCACCATGTCACCCGTGTGCCATCACCATAGTCCCATGCTCTTCCCTCCCTACCCCACCCCCGTTTTTGATCCCATTCCCCACTCCACCCCTACAAAATGTCTCTGGTATATGGCTGTTCATTATTCTTATTATTTTCTCACCTGGTCCATTATACTCCTGCTATGAGCAAAACCATCTGGTATTTTTCT